CGATGCTGTAATAATTAATTAATTAATTATTACAGCATCGTACAATTAATTAATTAAGAACAATTAGTTAAGGCGAGGAAGGGGGAGACTTGATCGAGACACTCAGAATAGTGAATGGTGTGGAGAAAGAAGGGGAAACACCTTTCTCTCTCCCATAATACTCGAACCTGGGTTCATCCCATGAAGCTGATTGGTGGGAATTTTAGGCCAGGTAAAAGGAAGTTACTTCTGCACACAGCATATAATTAATCTATGGAATTTGGTGGCCATCACCAGTTCCCATGGCAGCAATCTGGATGGCTTTAAAAGGGGATTGGTCAGATCCATGAGGGAGGAGGATATCACATAGCTTTGCTGACTGTGTGCTGCCTCCATCACCAGAGGTGGCCTGCCTGCATGCATCAGTTATGGAAGAGCTTGGACAGGCAGAGGTCTTGCACCCATCCTGCTTGAGGGATCCTGTGGGCAGCTGGTCCACCACTGTGCAGACAGAGTGCTGGGCTAGATGGACCTTTAGTCTGATCCAGCGTGGCTTTTCTGGTATGATTTTTCTTACGTTCTTATGATACGAAGTAAGCTGTGTAAGGAGTAAGCTGGCCAAATTTATTGATGGCACCCAGTTATTTAGTATGGGAGTGAAGAGCTCTGAAAGGATTCCTCCAAACTGGGGGAATGGCCATTAAAAGGTAAATGCTGTTCAGCATAAGCAGTAATAAAATACTGTACACCAGGTAAAAGATTCTGATCTCTTCTATACACTGATAGGATCCAAGCAGGTGGTGATTCACCAGAAAATGGACCTTGGGGTTTTGATGAATAACTCAATGAAGACATTAATTCTCTATGCAGCTCTTGTGCAAAAGGAATCGTTTGGGGAAAATACAAAAAAATAGAACTGCTATTATATTGTCCTTGTACAAATCTATGGCATGATACCATTTGGAATAAAATATACAATTGTGGTCACCACACTTCAGAAAGGATATTGTGCATCTTTAGAAGGTGCAGAAAAGCAACACTTCCAAGATGACAGATTGAAGCATTTCAGCTTAGAAAAACAAGTAACGAGATGTGCTTATTGGTGGGAGATTCAGCACAGGTGAAAAGAAGTACTTTTTCAAAGAATGAATAACTAAACTTTGGAATTCACTACCACAAGATGTAGTGATGGCCACTAACTTGAACAACTCTAAAGGAGAAATAGACAAATTCATGAAGGATGATACTGTCAGTGTCTATTAATCATGATGATTGTGTATTGCCTTTAGTATCATAGGCAGCTTGTGTGCCTCTGAATTCCAGCCACTGGGCAACATGAATTGCGGGGGGATTTTGCTCATTTCCTGCTTGTTTGCTTCTTGCAGGCATCCATTTGGGCTGTAAGGGAGCAGAATGCTGGGGCAGATGGGTGCTTGCTTTGATCCAGTGGTGGTGGTGGTTGGTTCTTATGTTCTTAGGTTTGGCATGGTTTATTCCAAACTTGCTGGATAATTCAGAAATCCTTTAGCCAGGGATGTACAAGGTAAATGTTGCATGGGGTGGAGAAAGCATATTAATTTAGTAGAGAAAGTTGGTACGTGTAATAAAAAATATATTACAAACAGCACCAACATCATCCCAGTCTTCGTAAGTCAATAAAAATCAAAGAACAAGTTTAAAGTGAACCTTTTAGTATGTGAATATAATATTCACATAACTGCCAGAATTGGTGCAATAGCTAGAGTTTAGTATCCCTGTATTTTTACTCATGGGATAAGTGAAGCCCTTTGAAAAGGAGGGAATGGGAAAAGAGGCATACTTTCTCAGCCTAGAGTCCAGCATATGAAGGGGTCCCTTTGCAGCTGGTCCTAACTTGCACGTCTTTAGTGCTTCTTGCTGCGGCTTTTTCTTTCCTCCAAGCATCCAAGAGATTTATGTATGTGCATGCCTGAAGTCAGCTCACTTATGTCATTTTATGAACCCCCCCCCCAAAATGTTCTGTTTCTATATCTTGCTGTCCTAATGAAAAGGAATGCCTCTGTCCCTTTTGCAAAGCCTCTTTGTTCAAAGGCTACCCTTCTCTTTCCCCATATAAGTTGCAAGGGTGTTGGTGCTATATTCTCCTTGGTCTTACTGCACCTCTCCATCCTAATGGGAAACCCTCTAGAAATAGTACTTAGGGATTGGAAGAATTTGTAAAGAACATTTCAAAGACCATTCTTTATAAACCAAAAATTGTGCTGGTTAATGCTGAAGGTAGATGTAAATCCTCTCTGTACAGAGCAAGTTTAATGTGGACTTTTAAAAGAGATTCGCTTGGTGCCATCTTTGTATTCTTTTGGGCGCTAGACAAAGGCTTCTCTCTTTAAAAGATATTTTAATACTTGATCCTACCCATGGATGGGTTAGGGTTGGTAAAGTAATTTATTGGAATTGTTATATTTGTATTAATTTATAGATTAATTGGTTTTTTTTACTGTTTTAAAGTTCTATTGTTGAGTTTTTATATTATGAGTTTTAATATTTATTTATTCGATTTATATCCTGCCTTTTTCCTACAAAGGGCTCAAGGCAGCTTACATCTCCTCCTCCATCTTATCCCCACAACAACAGCCCTGTGAGGTAGGTTCGGCTGAGAGTCTGTGACTGGCCCAGAGTTGGCTCCATGGCTGAGCAGGGACTAGAACCCAGATCGTCTGAGTCCCAGTCCCATGCTCTTAACCACTACACCACACTGGCTCTCAAGATGTGTTATTTTAGTAGTGTGAGCCACCTAGGGGTGCTGCTGGTGGAATAGGTGGCATGCATGCGCGCGTGTCTGTGTGTGTGTGTGTGTGTGTGTAAAATAAATAAAAGATGCTGCCATGACGATGTAATGTAGGAAACCAGAAGTGGCCTTAGAGGAAAGGAAGCAAAGTCCTGTGCCAAGCATTGCCTTTCTTTTTTTTTTTAAACCTGGTTTTGATCTTCCCTTTAACTACTTTCCTGACACCTTTAGCCAGACATATGTTTGCCTTTAGCCTTCTAAAATTATGCCAGTTCCACCTACACTGACAACGCAGCCACCAGAATAAAAGTTTGCTAAAACAGGAGGAGGTTGCATAGGGTCTGAAAGAGAACCCTTTTAGGAAAGCATCTGTCCATTGTTAACAGATAATAAAATTTGAGTCCAAAAAAAAGGGAGATTGGCAGAAGTGCGGAATGGAAGGAGATACTGGAAGTTCAGCAGTTTTATTTTTTCCCTATATAAAGTAATGCATATAATTCTTTTGTAGCCTTGACAGAATCTGACACATTTTCTGTATGAAGTAGAGACAGTGTGGTTTGTTTAGAAGGGGTGGGGGAGGGAGGCATTTTCTGCTTTGCATCACCTTCTCAGTGGAAATTTCTGGGTAGAACAAGGAAAGTCCCGTATACAAAATGAAACTACAAACAACAGCAAGAAAGCAAAGTAAAAGGCAAAATGATTGCACTTTTGCTGGAGTTTTGCTCTCCAGCTGTTTCACAGTTATAATACAGCAAAATGCTCCCCTTAACCTAAAAGGAAATGGAAGGGCTTCAATCAGTGTCCCCTGTTATTGTGGCAAGGGCAAAAATGATTGCTTTGGCTTGTTAGGACACTGTTAAGCAGAAGTATGGTTACTGTGTCTTGATTCAGAAATGTTTTCTCAGTTGTGTAGAGACTGAAGTACAAGATGAATCTTTTTCAAAGAATTAAGAATGTACTGTGCTTACTTAAAGCTCCCAATTTGACAGCATCATATTCTGACTGGTATCTCCAGACAATCAATGTGTCATGTATCTATAATTTTATTTATTTGAGTTGTATAAAAGCCACCCCTTAGCATTATGCTCTCTGTTGTTGTAGATGAACAACATCTGGAAACTCATAGGTTGTCCACTCCAGCTGAACATTTTATTGGCCTCTTGGATCTTTTTTCTTGTTTTGGGCAGGGTGTCTTGAAGTAGGAATGTAGCTGAGGGTAGTTTTTGTCTTCAATTCCTTAAAGTGCAAGCACTGTGCAACTTCATTAAAGGATTTAACACTGTTTTAACTTCTTCCAGCTGACTTTGGAGTATCTGCTAAAAACATGAAGACTTTGCAAAGGCGGGATTCCTTCATTGGCACACCCTACTGGTGAGTGCATGAATTCCATGGGGTATCAATAGGTGCTGCTAATAGAAAATGGAACTGGGTGTCACAAAAGGTGACATAACTTCAGGAGGCAACTAACTTCATTCCCATGAGTGCAAAATAGAGAGTTGGCTGGCGAAGGGGTTGTTCTGTTCCATACGACACAAAAGTCCTCTTTTGAGAAGTGATTTTTCTGGTCCATCAGTAATCCATACTACAAAACAACAAATATAGCTCAAAGCAGACTGAATTATGCAAAACAAAAACACAAAATTGGGAATAAATTGGACAAAATAGGGGGGATATGACAAAGGCTCAGGGCTCCTGTAGACTCCACTCCACAATTACTTGCATGCCCTTAGCCCTCCAATTTTTAAAAAAGGCTCCCAGAACTAGTCCCTCCCCCCATTCCTGCACATGGATACTTACATAAAAACATGCAAGAGAAGTGCAATACTTTCTGGGTCCCGCTGCTGCTGCTGCTGCTGCTGCCGCCTTCCTCTGGTCTTTCTCAGGACCTGCTGCACACGACAGGAGAATTAAAAGGGCCTTTAAAATACCCATTGGCTGTGGGTGCCCTCCATGGCTTTCCTATTCACTCTTAAGAACCAGTCAGTTCCAAATTTAGAAGTTCAACAGAGCAATACTTTGGGAAGTGCTGTCTGTTGCTTTAGAAATCGATGGGATGTGACATTGATAGAGCTGCAGAAGGAAAGAGGAGAAAGAGAGTAGTCAGGAAGCACCAACCAGCTCAGCTGCTGACTCATAACACTGAAGGCTGAGATGGGAGGAGACCCTTGTAGCACAGTAACACTTGCGGCAGATCACTGCCTCCTGCCCACCACTCAGGTATTGCCCCTGAGAAGAGACCACCACCAAAAGTTGATAGATGTTCATGGGCAAAGGCATTTGGCTGATTTTTTAGCTATCTACATGAATGGACACTTTTGTCTGTGAAAGGAAAGCACATGCTTGAAATTGTACTTTAGTGTCAGTGCTGTGTAGTGCCCTATTTGCATTTATTGAAATAAATTAAAACATGAAAGTATATATGAAGGGCTACAATCCTAGAAGGCAATTTTGTTGTTGGCTTCACTTATCAAAAGTCTTGGAACCTGGAGGACTTAATCTGTGTGTAGCAACACACTGTTATATTCAACCACCACCTCCTTTAGGATAGTGAAGAAGTTACACATCCCAGAACTGAAATGGGATGTCAATGAAATCTAGGCCAATCTTTTGCATTCCCATCCCCTACTACTTGGTGGAATGTCCTTTTGAAGCAGCTCCAAAGTAACAATTAACTTGAGGAATTTAATCTCTAAATCAGTCACATTGCTAAAAGAAAGCAATCCGTGAGCATTAATTTGTTGTCCAAAGCAGCACCCATGCCAGATGTCATTGGCCTGCTGGTTTTCTGTAGTTGCAGTGAGTTGGGAATGGGAAGATTAATTTTTCTCCATGCTTGAACTGTGTACTGTCTCTTGCAAAAGACAGTTAACCATGTTATCTTTCCATTAATTCACTGCAAAGCTTAAACATGTACTCAACTCTCCTTCAAAAATTAGTAGGACTTAAAGTTCTTGGCTTCTGCCTGCTTCTCCCCAGTTTATTCAGATGCTAGCTACAAAGTAATAATTTCCAAGGTTTAGAGTCATCTCAGAACTAATGACTAACTGGACTTATAGATTAGGTGGAGGGAGGGGGATTACTGTTCTGAACCATTGGTTGCTGGTGATATTTGTAGCAAAACTTACTCTCCTTTGTTTTCTGTTTAGGATGGCTCCTGAAGTAGTGATGTGTGAGACCATGAAAGACACCCCCTATGACTACAAGGCAGATATCTGGTCCTTGGGCATAACACTGATAGAAATGGCTGAGATAGAACCGCCTCATCATGAGCTCAATCCCATGAGGGTCCTGCTGAAAATAGCCAAATCTGACCCGCCCACTCTTAATTATCCCTCAAAGTGGTGAGAAGATATATTTGTGTGTATTTGTGGGTTTGTGTGAGTTCAGAAGTGGCTGTGATGGATGTGTGAGGAATCTGCTTGTGGGTGGGCATCCATTAGATTCCCTGGGCTCGACTCCCTGGACTCTGGTCTTCTTTGCAACAGCGTTAAGTCTGACTGACTGGAGAGTATGCCATGCATTGAGCCCCACATGTTGCACAAGCAGTGCCCCTCTTCCACACCCAGTGCATCCATTGGTGGCTGCACCAGCTGCGGAAGAAGTTCAGTCATCATTGGGTCTGTTAGGAATGGCATCCTGTACCCTGCACCTCACACGGAAGGTTGCCAGTTGTGCAACCAGAGGTTTGTGAGTGTTCATGGACTCCCTCTCAGTTCAGCTCACTTTGCAGGACTTGTCCAACCATGAGAGGAAGTCCATAGATTGCTAGAGGGACAGATTTCAATAAGACTCATCCCACCCCTAGTGTCAGTGAGTGTGTCTCTATGCCTACCCAGAACAGAGAGTTCTTACTAATTATTCAACCAGGATTCCATAGTTGGCAAAATGAATCTGAATGAATGAAATGAAATGTGATAAAATTCATGGAGAAGATTGTGAATGGTTGTAAAATGAATGGGGAACATGTGTTCTAGCTCTAGCTCCCATCAGCCCAGCCAATATGGCCAGTGATCAAGGGCAATGGGAGCTGTAGTCCCCATCTCTAGAGTAAAATGTGGTCATTGCAGGATGGGACTAACCTAAGGAGAAAGTTGTGTGGAAATGTTGGCCAGAGAAAACAGCCATTTCTTTTTTCACAGGAAAACACAGGCTCTGTGGAACAGCTTAGTTAGATCAGGCATTCCTGGTGTGATGCCAGACAGATGTTCTCAAATTACGAACTTTTGACATTGGTCATGCTGGCTGATGGGAGTCATAGTCCAGCAACATCTTGTGAGCCCCCATCAGAGAAATTGGTCTAAATCAAGAGTATTGCAGTGACTTTATTATTATACTCTTTATTATACTTCAGATGGTTCAAAATAGAGCTGCCAGGATGCTGTTGGGGACTGGGCATTATTCTCATATAACCCCAGTCCTCTATCAGCTTCATTGGCCCCCCATCGAAGTCCAGGCTCTATTCAAGGTGCTGGTTATTACCTATAAAGCCCTAAACGGCTTAGGACCAGGATACCAAAAAGGCCTTTTTTCCTATTTGCTGTCCCGCCCCCTGAGATGGGCAACAGAAGCCCTCCTCTGGGAACCCTCTGTGAAAGATGTTAGGAGACAGAATACCCGGAGGAGGGCCTTCTCTGCAGTGGCGCCCCGACTATGGAATGCGCTCCCCAGAGAGGTCTGCCTGGCGCCATCATTATATGTTTTTTGGTGCCAGGTTAAGACCTTTTTATTTAATCAATATTTTAATAAGTTTTAATATCAGTTTTTATTATTGTATTTTATTAATTGCAGCCAGAGTGGGTCGTCAATGTATTTATGCTGTTAGCCGTCCAGAGACGTTAGTAATTGTATGGCATACACATTTAATTAATTAAAATACACACACACACACATATATACATACACTTGTCGATGAAGTTCACTAAGTAATCTCAAGAAGACACCTTCTCAGTCTAGCATGACTCCATAAGGGGATTGTGCTAGGATGCAATAAGATAATTCTATCTACACCACCCTGAATTCCTTAGAAAGCCCTGCAGATAATGTAGCACTTCAGTTCCCTTCAGGCTTAGCCAGTCTGGACATGGGTAAGGGATGATGGGTATAGTAGTTCATCCTCATCTGGAGGAGGACCACAGATTCCTCAGTTGTGCTTTAGAGCAGGATTGTATTACAAACTCGTTAAATTACACTTTGCATCGTGTTCAGAATACCTGTACAGCATGGCACCTACTCAGACAATTAGTCTATCAGTGCTTCTGCATTAATACACTAGGACATCCCACATCTTCCTGAGTGTTTACAAACGGAGTGATGAATCCACTTGTTTCTCTGTGTAGTTTGCTTCTTTCATGGCCCTTACTTAATCAGTTTCTCCTTGGTGGGATCAAAGAAAGGAAAAACCTCTTTGGTCTATGCTCCTCCTTATGCGGTAAAGGGCTCAACTGTGACCACCCTTATACAGGCACTCATAACCAAGCTTGCAGTGGGAAATGCACACTTCTTTCCCATTTCTTACTCAGGCTCATCACATCCTCTACTTTGCAGGAATATTGGATTTCCTGCTCCCACAGCATACAGTACTTTATACCTAGAGCAAAGGCAATAGCACTTTCATTACTTAAGTAATATCTGTGTGAATGTGGTTGCCCATGGGAAGGATGATAGCTCAGTGGCTGAGCATAGGCTTTGCAATGTGTAAATGCCAGGCTCTGTTCCCAGCATCTCCAGTTTAAAGAGTCTGGAAACAGGTGATGGGAAATCCTCTCTGCCTTTTGAGACCCTGGAGAACCCCTGCCAGTTGGAGGAGGAACCCTGTGTTAGGTAGACAGTCGGCTGCCTGGTGTAAGCCAGTCTCTTACATTCCTGTAGGCATCCAAAATGGGTTCCACTTTGATGTTGTTAATCATGAGAAGCACACTCCCCTACTCACCTGCAGCCTATGCAGCTTTTTGTTTTCACTCCTTAGAGGATTTTCTATGAGCTGCCCCAGTATATGAACCCTGCTTTGGAGCCTGACTTCTCCTCCTCCACCTTGTTAACAGAGGAGTGAACAGCAGTAAGGCTATTTCCTATATTTCCCCCTCCCCAAATCTATTACGTACAAATGGATTTCTGTGCTGTTTGTCACTGAAAAGTCACTGGACCATAGCCTCCATGGGTAAATCTGCTTGTGATACATTTTCTGTGATTGTGTATAGAAACTGCCAGTAAGTGCTTTGGTTGAACTCTTACATGAAGCTGCCATTGAAAAAGAGGGGCAGGGTGGAGCAGCAGGGAGGGGGCGGACAGAAGGCTTTGTATTAGCTGGAGCTCAAGCTTACGATTGTCCTCGTGTGTTTACTGCCTTTGAGATTTTGGCATGAATTCGGAATAGAATGGCAGCGTGTAACTTGAGCAGCTGTTGCTCCTAGGCTTAAAAGGAAAAGTTAACTCTGTAACTAACCAGACAGTATTTTCTGTGTATTCAGATATTTGAATGGAAGGATGGACAGATAGAAAAAAATGTTGTGCTGCTCTTCCTTTCAACCCATAGGTATTGACCCAAATCATGACTGATACTGGGATAGTAAGTGGTGTGGTCTCTGGGGTGGAAGTAACAGTTTTCCTTCTCCTGAAGGCCTTGCTAATGGCCTCTTTGCTGGTTTTTAATTTATAAAGGTCTCCAGAATTCAAAGACTTCCTGAAGACTGCACTGGACAAGAACCCTGAGACCCGGCCAAGTGCTGCACAATTACTCGAGGTAAGTGCAGCCTCTAGAGAGCACTGTTCATAAATGCTTAACATTCTTTGAGGGTACTGAAATACTATTATTATTATTATTATTATTATTATTATTATTATTATTATTATTATTATAACATTTCTGTACACGCTGGCAACTGCTTGTAGGGCAGCAGCAACACAGTGCAAATTTTGGATGGTCATTGTGCAGAAAGGTTGGGTCTCAACTGCCTTAGGTGTTACTCCTGACTGGGCAGGAGGTTTCCCCTCAGTAAGCAAGATAACTGTGCTACTTTGCCTATCCATGCTATCTAGTGCAGACAGCCCTGCTACTTCTGAGGTGACTTAAAGCTCAGGGTAAATTTTAATTTTCCAGTGTCTTATTATGAGTCCCCTTTCCTACTCCTGACCCTTCCTCCTGGTGACAATGGAGGGGAAAAGGATAGAATTTTGTGAAACCAAGTCTGCAGCTGTGCTTCTTAGCTACCTTACTGTCTTTGAAGATTTTGGACTATTTTAAACTTTTGGAGGGAGGTGTTGCTGCTGCTGTCCCAGCTCTTGGTAGTTCTGTTTACCTTGAGCTTTCATAAGCTCTTTTTAAATGAAAGATAAATAATTAATTAGTAGTGGGGAGAGGGGTTCTGTCTTTAAGATGGCTGGAGAAGAGATCTGAGAGCCAAACTGTATTGATGATACTAAGAGAGAGGAAATATGAAAATATTGTCAGCCAAAGGAAAACTTTGATCTCTCATGAAAATCTTGATTTGGTGTTCCTCTCACGGGGTTGGGAGACAGCTGAAAATGGTTTCTGAAGAAGATGGGCTGTAGCTCAGTAGTACAATGCTTTGTCTGCAGATGTTCAATCTGCAGCTTCTCACGGTAGGACTGTTGCCAGTCAGTGTCAACAATGGACCAATGATGTGATTCAGCATGAGGCAGCTTCTTCCGTTCTAATCCCCGAGTATGCTTTGAGCCACGATGCTCTTGATTTGCTGGATTGCTCATTTTAATATGGTAATGCACTCTTGGTTTTTAGCATCCCTTCGTCAGCAGGGTCACTACTAACAGAGCCCTACGTGAACTTGTGGCAGAGGCAAAGGCTGAAGTGATGGAGGAAATTGAAGACAATAGAGAGGAAGTTGAAGAGGATGACTCCTCAGAATCTGCATCTGTAAGATTTAGTCTTATGTTATGGAAACATTTATTTAAAGAACTAGAGCTAACCTATATGTATTGCACACATACGTGGACTCATATATGCACACACATACTAGGAACACTTTATAAAATAACTTTCACAAATGAAGCTTGCTAGATTTGTAACAGAAAACTGGTGAGCACCTTTGACTCATGAACTCACTGGGGGAGGGGAGCTATTTGTTGTGTTTCTGCAGGTGGACAGGAAAAATGGCTCCTTGAGAAGGGAGAGGCTTCTCTTCACTCAGCAGCCAAGAATCATGGAAACAATATATTGGGCAGCAAGCCAGCCTTCCCTTTCCTCTTGCAAGATAGTCTTCTGAGTAAATGCTGTACATGGCTGTCAGTATGTAGTGTCTGCTATATGGCCAGAATGACCTTAAGGGAAGGTTTTAACTGCTGGTTCCTTTACTCTGTGGTGGAAAGCATGATTTTAAGTCCCAGGTGGCTTCAAGGAAAGTTCCTCCTGGAATTCTGCTGGCTGGTGTCAGCCTTGGCTGAGACAGTGGAAGCTCAGGCTGACAGGGGGGGGAAATAGACATGTGCATACACACACCCATGACGAAGCAGTGCTGAATCAACCGGCAAGGTTAAATCTGCTGTTGATAGCCAATTCCAGGCTTACAATTTAAAAGATGTCTGTTCAGATAAAGGCTGTTCATACTTGGAGGAGGGCGGGTCTCTGTATCCTCCCTACTGTACATGGAATTTGGTTTCTGTGGAAAAAAAGGAATGAAAACCGTATGTAGGCTGTCACATGTGGCCTAGCTAAACTTTACAAACCAGATCTGTGAGGGTTTTAGCTACATGTTTTATTGTCCAGAACTTGGATGAAAAAGAAAGACATTTTTTCTGCTTGAACACCTATAGAAGGTGGTTTTTCAACAATAATGAAAATGAAAACAAAGCAAAATGCAGATTGACTTAGCTCTATTCTGTTACTGAGGCTGTGCTCATAAAAGCATAGCAAGAGTTACCTGCTCTTCTCTCTACCCACTCCATGGTCCACTGTTCCCTTGAAAAAACAGGCCCTCTCTTCACTCAAAAGCTGCATTTGAGAAGATACTGGGCAGATGCAATTTAAAGAGAGGGTGCAGTGCATTTAAAACATACTTTCCTCTGCCCCCTGGCACATCTGGAACTGCCTTCAGGAGGAGGAAGACTGATCACAGCTGTTCAGCAGGAATGAATCGGTGCTGGTGTCAGGTTGGAATGGAAGTTTTTGTCCCGCAGCAGTGGTGTCATGAAGTGCCCCAAGCTCAACCTTGCCCCCTTTCGGTTCCTTTTTACCAGGGCACATGATACAGGAGTAAAGAGTAGGATAGGAAAAGGGGTGTGAATGCTACCAGCTGGTATCCTTCATTTAAGTCTGGAAAATTGCAGTGTTGTCGAGCCAGAGCTGCTGGTTTATTTTTAACTCATAGGAAACCCCCATATTTCACTGAACTGGGACTTTCCTCACTGGTGGTAGATGCTTTTATAATTCTAGCCATTCCTATTCTGGCCTTGCTCTGCTCTTCCAGAGTTCCCAGGGCATTCTTAGTACTGAAGCAACTCTAGCTGCAAGCCAGTAAAGCAGTGACTAATGTACAAAAAAGTTCTGTGGTGTGATTTTGCAGAAGAGCACAATGTTGCATGGCCTTCAGAAAACCTCAGCTCCTTCACAGCATTTCTGCCCTGAGGTGATTCAGCACTCCCCTTACTTCCAATTTGCTTTGTCAGAAAAGGATCTCATTCATTTGAATGTATTCTCTTTCTGCTGGCATTGTGAATTGAATTGCATGCATAGGGGTCTGGATCAGGTCCTGTGCTTATTTCTAAGTGAGGAAAAAGCAATAGCTGCCGCTTATTTCTTTAATCTTAACTATAACACCAATAATCCCAGTGGTTGGGGGCTGGTCTTCATTGTTCACCCATGTTCATGCACGCACAGACAGACGTACAGGCATGTGTTTTCAAATAAAGTTCATAATGTACACCACTGACACTTCCGTCTGTGCCTGCCCATCCCTTTCTCACGCACATGCACAGAAATGTGTTTGCTGTATGTTGGGCTGCTGTTGCACCCAACAACTGTTTTACTTCAAATGGGAAACATTGCCTGTTCCTGGTGGAAACAAAGGCTCCAAGAACAGGCTCTATAGTTCCTGCCATAGAAATATTATTCCTAGAATGTCCAAGAAGCTGGTAGGAGCCTCCAAGCACCACTTCTTAGGAAATTCTGGAACACTCTAGGAATGAGATTTCTATGGCTCATTCCTAGTGTATCTGCCTTTCTCTTTCCTGACTGCTCTGCTTCTTTCTTGACTGTTCTGCTCTGCTCTGCTCTTTGCTTTTGTGCCACCCCTGGTCTGGAGTACAAGGAGACAAAGCACAGGGAGACCCAGGTTCGAACCCTGCCTCAGCCACAAAGTGGGTGAAGAGCACATGTGTCATGTATAGGCTGAAGTATCTGATCCTGTCTAATCTTGGAAGCAAAGAAGGGTCGGGCCTGGTTGAAATCTGGAAGAGTGACTTAAAAGTTATGAACCACCCAGAGAGCTTCAGCTATGGGAGGTAGAGAAGTGTAATAACAAAAACAATGTATGTTGGTCTGATTTTTTTTTTTTTTTTTTGGAGGAATGGAAGAATAAATATAGTAAATGAGTATTAACTCATTGCCCTCTTGGGCTAGCAAGCCCAAGATAAATGAATTAGATTACACAAATTTCCATAAATTAGGTATGTCAGAATCCAGCATATACCTAATTGTATGTTTGTAAAAGTGATACAGACTTTTTCCGTACTTTTTTTAAAGAGAGAAGGCAACATGTAGCATGGTAGTGAGGTACACAGAGAAAGGAGTGGAATCTAGGACTCTAAGAAGCTTAAAACCAGCGGGGTATGGTGTGGGAAAGTGAGCCCCTGGCAGTGTGGCAGAGGTTAGGCGAGATGCCTCAAGTGACCGTTTACCAGTGCTCTTGAAAACAAGCCAGAACGTGACCTTCTGGCAGCACCTTGCCAAGAAGCTGTCAAGACTCCTTTGAACTAAAACAGGACTCTGGACTTTGCAGAAGTATGGTCTGTCTTTTAAAATGCTAGTTATAATCAAGCAACATTTCTAGCTGTTTGACAAAAGGAAAAAGCTTTATGCACCACCCAACTCATAAAATGATCAGATACAAGAAGGAAAAATATCCAGGCATTTATCAAAGTATCAGTTTTTCTAGGTTGCTTAGTCCTCTTAACTTTTGATACTTTTACAGCTACTGCCATTCTTTCCCCCACCCCCAACCTGTAAGGGAAAAATATTCTTGCATTATTTTAAAAGTTGCCAGAGAATAAACTGAGAAAGAATCTGTTCAAGTTACTCCCATGACAAATTCCCCATCCAGTCCTAAGTTTTACTGGTCTCCACTCAGTATGGAAGGGAATTGGACCCTGTTGCAGTTTAAATTAATTTTGTTTTGTGTATATCCTGTTTTCTATTCTGTGATTATGGTTTCCTCCTCTGCTAAAAATTTTTAAAAATGAGATTTCATGGTCCTCTTTCTATTCTGTATGCAGCCTCATCATATTTCCAAGAGGGACTCCTCTGTTGCAAGCCAACTAAGTTTGGATGAAGAGAAGTCTCCAAAAAATCGCCTGTCAGTTGTGGCCAATGGACCCCAGTTGCCTTTACTTCAAACCAAAGATGCCACAGATGGGCAGAGTACCAAGCTTTCAGATGAAGGGCTTGGTGATGAGAACATTACAAGAGCCAGCAGTAGTTCAAATTTACCTGGGAAAGAAGATGACCCAGATCTGTCCAGTGCCCAAGAAAAATCAGACAACAGCCCCAAGTTGCCGCAGATCATAGTGAAGCCAGCGAACGACAGAGACCTTGCCCTCCAAAATAAAGTCACTGAACCAGCAAGCAGAGATTCAAATGTAGGGAGCCGGCCAGAGAGCAGCCTCCTTGAAACACCTATAGAAGAAAATCTCCCCAATGGGACACCCAGTTTCTCCTCACAGTTTGAGAATGACAGTTTAAAGAGGGATTCTGATTCCGGTAGCACCTCTGCCTCAGAGAGTATGGACCTCAGCATCTCCTTGTATGCTGACTTGTCTCTCAGCAGAAGCAGTGGATCCCACTCTCCTAAGGTAAGACTTTGGGGCCATTTGTTCATCTCAAAAAGCAACCTTCCTTACCCAGCCCCCTTTCTGTAAGACTTCCATAATTTCACGTTCTGATAGTCTCCCCAGCTAACTCATCTCTCAAAACTGGCAGCAGAGGATGCTATTTTAAGGCCTTACACTATAGATATGGAACAGATTTATCTCTTCCTGGTGGTTAAAAACCATTTTTTTCTGAGTCAATAACTCTGCACTCCAGTGCTCAGCCATTACATGTTTTCTTACCAGAGGTCTTGAGTACAGCCAGTTTAGCAGCCAGTTTAAACATGCCCCTCAAAGGAGACAAGGCTCTGTTTCCAGAGTAAGGACTCTGCTCTTACACAAAGGGCTGAATCCAGACTGCTGGAGAAACAAAGTGGTCTTTAGGGCTTGTCTCTGCTCACAGATCAGACAAAGGAGTAGCAAGAATGGTTGGGAACACCTAGCTTCCTTCAGCAGTGGAGAGAGGCACAGCAGCTCCTGCTTTAGTAGCCAACTAAGTGTATTGACTGCAATGGAAGAGGAAGGAGCTCTGCCACTGCTGCAGGTGGTGATAGTAGCATCAGGGAAGGAAAAATCCCACTTGAGAAAGGAGGGGCACCTGTAGCTGCTGCTGCTCCTCTTCTTTTTTCAGTGGGCACTGCTGGGCTCCTGGCAACTGGCTAACAATTGCTGACCTGTGATACTGGCCCACATGATTCTGTGCCCATTTGTTGTTATAATATGGCTCATGTTGCACAAAGAACACCACTGATTCTCGCTTTATGCTACATCTGCCATCTTCCTTACATTCTACACACTAAGGTATGTCCCTGGAAACATGTCTGGTTCTTCCACAAACCCAGCTTCTTGTTTTTTGCTGGGAGGAGGTTAATAATCTAACACTCATGTTTTCGATTTCCAGCTTTATGTGAAACTCAGAATTGACTGGCCATTAGCCACTTCTTATCCATTACCAAAACTTGCCCACATTGGGCAATGTGCCATTCCTTTAGACTTTACTCACCCCACTTTCCCCAAAATTACTTCAAAGTAGCAAAGAGACAAATATTAGAGTTCATTCTGCAAAAGAAGCATACTTATGGAATTACAACATGTATTTTGATTACATTATTACAACCTGAATTTCTTTGAATAAGAAGCTCACTTCCTCTTGTTCTTTTCTCCCATGTTATTGGCTTAGAAACATAGAAACAGAGCGAGTCAGACAAAGGGGTCTCCCGGGCCATCTAGTCTGACCCCCGGCTCCAGCCAGCTCCACTCATGATTTGCCCACCATGTGCATGTCCAGCCTATCTTTGAACACCCTCACCAGTGGGGCCTCAACGACCTCTCGTGGAAGCCCATTCCACACCCTCAGGGTCCTAACTGTTAGGAAGTGCTTCCTGGCATCTAAATGGAACCTTGCTCCATTGGAGCGCGTCCTGCCTTCCTCTGCAGGGGAGAACAGGTCTCTGCCCATCTCCATGTGACGTCCCCTCACATAGGTCGCCAACATATCGCCTCTGAGTCTTCTCCAGGCTGAAGAGACCCAGTTCCCTCAGTCTCGCCTCATATCCCATCCCCTGCAAACTGGCCACCAACCTTGTGGCCCTACGCTGCACTGACTCTAACCTGGCTATATCCTTTCTGTAATGAGGGGCCCAAAACTGAGCACCATACTCCAGTTGCAGATGCACCAGAGTCATATAGAGTGGTAGCAATACCTCTCTCAATCTAGAAGCCACACTTCTGGCTATGCAACCAAGGGTGGCGTTCGCCCTCTTGACCTGCAGTCAACCAGTACCCCGAGCAGTCAACAGTACCAGTACCAGTACTTGACCTAATGTTTAGCCTGCAGTCAACCAGTACCCCGAGCTCCCTTTCACAAGTGCTGCTCTCCAGCCACTTGTCACCTAACCTGTACTTATGACATCTATTCCTATGCCCCAAGTGCAAGACCTTGTACTTATCCACACTGAACGCCATCCTATTGTCTCCTGCCCACTTCCATAGTCTGTCCAGATCCTTTTGGATCTGGAGTACATGCTCCTCAGTTGTGGCCACTGCTCCAGTTTTAGTATCATCTGCGAAATTGATCAGCAGACTGTTCACCCCTTCTTCCATGTTGTTTATGAAAAGATTAAACAGGATCAGCCCCAGGACAGAGCCCTGGGGGACCCCGCTTGTCATTGACCGCCATCCTGACGATTCCCCACTAATGGTTAACCTCTGCTTTCGGTCAGTCAACCATTTCCTAATCCACTGGACAGTGCTTTGGTGTATCCCAAAACTCCTCAGTTTCTCCACCAGGATATCATGGGGCACTTTGTCAAAGGTCTTGCTGAAATCCAGGTAAACCGCATCCACTGCATCCCCTCCATCTAGCCATCTCGAAACCTTGTAGAATTCCACAAGGTTTGTCTGGCAGGACCTGTTTTTGCGGAAGCCGTGTTGTGTGGCTGCTAGCCTCCCTTCCCTATCTAGCATCGCTAGATCTCTCTCTTATGAGCCTTTCTGTTGTTTTTCCTACAATGGACGTAAGGCTAACAGGTCTGTAATTCCCCATGTCTCTTTTGCTACCCTTTTTGAAAATTTGAGACCACTGATGCCACCCTCCAGTCCTCTGGAACTTCACCCGTTCTTCACGAGGCCTCAAAAATGGAGGCCAGCAGGCATGAGAGAACCCCTGCCAACCTTCTAAGTACTCTCCGGTGTAACCCGTCAGGGCCTGGCGCCTTTGTAATGTCCAATGCCCTGAGGAGCCCCTCGACTTCTAGGGGGGTGGCTTGAAGATGCTTTTGCTTTTTTAACAAAACAACCCAAGGGATAGTTAAACATGTGATACTTTGGTCTCCAGAACTTACTGTTTATACATATTTTCTTGGTCTATTTATCCTGGTTTCCTCTGCTCAAATATATAGGATGCAAAAAATCAGAAGATGACACTGAAACGGACCAGGAGATTTGTAGTGGATGGAGTGGAAGTAAGTGTCACCACCTCAAAAATCATCAGTGAGGATGAGAAGAAAGATGAAGAGATGAGATTCCTCAGGCAAGTCAAAAATTGGGTTTGTTTGTGGAAATGTCAATATACCTAGCTTTCTCAGGAGATTCGTGAAAGGGACTGGATATTTGAAAGAACTTCTAAGAGAGCTATTTGTTTGTTGGAAAATACTACCTCGGAAGGTAGTAAACGTCTTCATTAAAGCTTTTAAACAAAGGCTGGAAGTTCACCTGTTAGTGATGTGTAGGGATGGATATCCTACATTGACTTGATGAATTTTGTGGTCCCTTCTACAAGAGAAAACTGCCTTCACATGGATGTGAAAAATAATGTTTAACCCAACACCAATTCATGGATTCATTTTTTGCACCTACATCTAAAAAAGTAAAGTATGGCAGATGTATAAAACTATTATATGATTCTCCTCTCTCTATTTCAAACATATCCTGTCCTTCCAACTAGCGCTCAGGATGGCTTGCACAATATAAAATTACAATAGTACAATAATGAAACCTCAGTTATTAAAACAATACAAAACAACACATCATGAACTTAGAGAAACAAAAGGGAGGAAAAGAATAGAAAATGTGACTGTGGAGAGGGGGAAAAAAGCCCTAACTCTATTGCCCACTGGGACTATGGAGGAGCATATTAACTGTCATAAAAGCAATAAAAAGACTAATGAAGTTACAACTAAGTCCATAAAAGCATATGCCATAATAAATCCGTTAGTCTTAAAAGTTACCAGAATAATATTTGTTATTTTTGCAGTGGATTGTTGTTGTTTGGCAATTGATGATGTTTGTAAATAAGGATTTAGCAAATTGGTATCATTTGCTGTGCTTATTTAAGACCTTGCTATAAGGTACCATTCTGAAGGGGATTTTTTGTAAGTGTAGGAAGAAAAATACCTGAATGCAATAACCTGCAGTTATCAGAAACTGAAGCTTTCAAGCAAGTTAAGTTACCATTCTACATCTACAGATCATAGGAAAACATGGCAAACAATGCCATTCTCATATAATTTAATGTTTTGTTAATTTAATTTGATTATGTACTGACAAGGCAAAAAAACTTTGCTCAGGCAAACTTGAACCTAACATTAAAAACTCAGTGGAAAAAGAAAGGAGAAATATGATTAATAATGAAGCCAGCAGCAATGTCTTTTAAAAATTTTACTGTAAAGTAGGTGAAGAGAGTTCCATCCAGATGGGAATCCTAGTGTGGGGTACAGGGGCTTTAACCCTTTTCTTCCCAACATGGAATCTGTCCAGACCTGGGGTACACCTGCAATTTCTATTTTAAAATAGTTGTCTTTACGAATCAGTATCGGGCACAGTCCTAAGCTGCACAAGACTTCTAGCAAGAGGAAAAGGGTAAAAGCCCCTACCCTTCGAGCGAAGTGCATGATCTGGATTGGAACCCCTGCACCTCCTCTAGAACAAAGTGAAAAATTACATACACCAATTGTTTATTCCAACAAAAAAAATCATGAAGCATGTATATGAACTGATAATTTCTAGTTCAGAAAATGTATAGAACTATTCTATAAATGTCCAGAATTCTGAAGTACTTTGATGACTATGTTTCAGTGGCATAAATGCCCACATAGCTAGCTATACCTCGACTTAGTACATCAAGTCACCTTTGCTAAACTGGAAAGGCAGGAATTTGGAATGATGGCATTCTTCCGTCAATTCCAGTTCTACCACCACCACTACTACTAAATCTCAGATGGGCATATAAACTTGAAAATTAAGGATAGATTATTTACACACATACTATAAAAATAATATTTTTGCTTCTGGGGTCTGTAAATTTTACAGCCTTTTTTTCAAGGCCTTCTGAGGCATGTAAATTTAGTAACAGAAATGGGGCCTTGCAAGTTTAGGAAATAATGCTAACATGAACTAAGGAGCCCTGGGAGATGTAGTTCTTAAGAGACCATATCTCAGAGGAAGGCACTGCTCTGTATCTCTCTCAAACGTAAAGACCTAGAGTTTTCATAAAGAACTGTATTTCCATATGGAGTCATAAGAGTGGGTGACTTCGGGAAAACTCTGGGAAAGCTGCACTTTAAAAAAGGCCCACAATTAGATTTTCACCACTGCAATATAAAACAAAACAATGACAGCATAAAGAATTTATGGGTAGTATCCAGGTGTGTAATTTTGCTTCCACAAGTGATGCCATGCTAGCAGAAATTAGGTTCCAAACTATGCATAATGGAAGAATTCAACTGAAGTTTCACTTGCACAGCTATCTGTGCAAGCAGTTACACAGTCACTTCTGGGAGTGGATGTGTGTTCTAAGAGCACACATTCTGTGCAAAGACTTGTGCAACTGAAACACCTGTACAGTAGAACTCTGCTAGCACTATTTGAATTTGCAGCATAATGCAATAGAAAATTATCCTGTTTTTATTAGAGATACATTAACAGTGCAGGTCCTATTTTTCCTAGTGGTGGGTAGCTCCCTGTTCCTCAAGATCAGGATAGACATTCTCTACAGAGGTCTTATATTTGCTGAGGGTGTGGATGGTGTCCAAATTCTATATATCTACAAAAATGAATTATTTCTGAAAAACAGCACATTTCTGAACTTAACAAGAACAGGAATAGAGTTTATTTTACTAATTACCCAGATCAAAATTGTAGGATGATTAAGACTACTTCTACTTGGGTAATAGAGAAATCGTAGATCTCGTGCAGCTGGGCTGTACAAAGTAAGCTGGTTCCTGAACACTCTCACTTTGCTTTAACCTTGCAGGCGCCAGGAGCTGCGTGAGCTGCGTCTGCTTCAGAAAGAGGAGCACCGGAACCAGACCCAGCTGAGTATCAAGCATCAGATGCAGCTGGAGCAAATGCTGAAGCGCTTTGAACAGGAAATGAATGTATGTGGGAAAAGGAACTGAATTATTTTCCCTCCCTTTTATTCCAGTGGTTTTAGCAGGAGTCAACCAGAGGAGAGGAAAGATTACAAAACATGTACACGTTAGCCAGGCTAGACAGAATGCCAGTCACCTTTTTATGTTGAGGCATGGGTGTTGGAAAGGACCAAGTGAGAAGAACAGAAGTTGAAAAAAAATGGGGTAACCAAGTTAGTAGGCTGCCTCCAGTTAACTTCTAATACAGCTCCATAAAAGCTAGTAGTAACTCTGCCTGCCACACAGCTGAAAAGCATCTCCAACAACATAGCCTACATATTCTCTTTAGGGGAACTTTGGACAGCAGCCGATATTCTTTGAAAGAGCCAGTGTAGGGTAGTTGCTAGAGTTTTGGGCAGGGATCTGGTTGTTCCAGGTTCTAGTCTCCACTTGGCCACAAAACTCACTGGGTGCTTTTGAGTCACTGACTCTTAGCCTAACCTACTTCACAGGGTTGTTGTGAGGATAAAATGGAGAGGGGGTTATGTAAGCCACCTTGAGTTCCTTGTAGGAAAAAAGACAGGATAGAGATCTAATAAATAAATAAAGTGGAAATCAGTAGCTGTTGCTATTTGATGTATAATCTACACAATGCATTTTTGTTCTGACTGAACCCTATTGTAATTAGTTGCTTGAAAAATTGTTTCCAGTTTTGGACCTTCTCTAAGTTAATCTCCCTCAGCAAGAAGTTCTGAATGGTAATATAGGAAGTGTAAATGGCAACATAGGCACCCTAGGATGGAAAGGAAAAATAATTCTTTTAACCTGGTTGAGTGGTTCAGTAGAAGCATTTATTAAAGGTAGAGTGTTCTGTTACTGGGCATTCCTTCAGCCAGTGGTTCACTTGAATCAGTTTATTGGTTGTATCTGTAATAGATACTGATTTGTCTGCTGCCATGACTAAAACACAGGAGAGAATTTACTCCCATTCTGTGCCTGTTGAAACCAGCATATGAAACAAATACAACCCTCACATCTTTTTGCATTGCACCAGCTAAGGTCCTCTAGGCAAATCCATTGTTAAATGTCGGAAAGAAGGCAATGCTGCGTTGGAATTCCAAGTGTGTGGCAGGAAGCAATTAGTGACATAAATGAACTCCACAATCTGCTTTCTTTCTGCCTGGTTTATGTGAGATTAGAAGGCTAATCCTGCTTGTACTTGTATAGTGTTCTTTTCCATTCAGACTGATTGTCACAAGCAGCCTACATGGAATCAAAAAAAAAAAAAAAAAAAATCAGAAAGGGAAGAATCCAAATAAACAGTGTCAATTACAAATGCAATTAATTTTTTCCTAAATTAATATTTTTGCAAAGCTAACTGACATTTCTGTATATGCATCATAATAATCACAGTCTCATTTCATCATTTCTCCACTTCTACATAATGCTTGGCAAGCACTACTTCTGGAGAAGCTAGGCAGGTCACCCTGAGCAATAATTCAATGGGATAAGCCACTACTAAGTCAGCACTGTCGTCTATTTCTGCTAGTCTTCGCCTCCTATATTGTAGGGGGTCCTAACCAGATTATCTCCTGATTATTACAAAAGGTGGGAGGGCCCTTATGAGAAGAGTTGCTCCTATAACTTTTTCAGAACTGGTAATGTGCAGAGATGGAGTCTCATATTAAGATTTGGATATGTTTGAAAGAAATTTCAGGCAAAATCAGTTTGTTATGCCCAGAAGTGTTTCTTCATGCTTTATGCTGATAATTGATAAATACTTGTTTATTTAAGGCACTTGGGTGAGCATAATAAATCTGACTATTCTTTTTGGTCTTTTATAGGCAAAGAAGAAATTCTATGACACGGAATTAGAAAATTTGGAGCGTCAGCAGAAGCAACAGATTGAAAAGATGGAGCAAGAGCACTCAGTGCACCGACGTGAAGAGACTAAACGTATCCGTGCTGAGCAAGAACGAGATCGTACAAAATTTCAAGAGCAGTTAAAGCAGAAGAAGAAGGAGGTAAAGTCTGGTGGTGGGCCAGATTTTTGCATAATGTAATTCTGGAATTAATTTAGGTTTTTGGCTTATTTGAAAGCACTCAGACATTTTGCTGGCTGAGATGGTGTCATATCATAGAAAAGCTGTTCAGGAGAAGGGAGTTTTAGGAAAGAAAGTCCAGATTTGGGGCTGCTGAAAAGAATAAGCAGCACATACAGGAAGAGCAAGAGAGAAGCCTGTGATGAAGACAAAAGAAGACTTAAGGAAGAAAGAATGCTGGGAAGAGACGTGTTAGGAAACACAGAAAAGGGGTCTATGAAAGAAAGAAATGGAAACATGGAGCAGCGAAATCAAGGGAAGAGAAGACCAGGGAGTATGAAGAGTTTGTACAGTGTATTAGCCAAGGCAAACCCACCATGAAACAGGCTGAGGAGCCTGCATCAGGTGGAAGAATGGGAGGAGTCAAGAATTGCTGCACGCCCTTGCTTCCAACACCTCTAACAGGTACTGGTGAGAGCCACATTGCCCCTCTTTCCACTATATGGCATTTGCCGCAGCGTGAAACTAGCCAGTGGGGCTCTCTACAGCAGCTGTTCACCCTCTTTCCCTCTTTGCACGCATCCAGAAGAAACAGCCTTGGATCTCCTGTCAGAGCGCCACCCAAATCCTGCAAGAACCCCACTAACACTGGCAAGAGTCCCCCAGCTGCTTCTCTGGCTGCACAGCTCTCCACAGAGCTGATGTGGCAAGGGTCAAGGTAAAGGGGACACAAGATAAGAGCAGCCCTGTGACAATGGGGACATTCCCACAGCATCTTTTCCAGCTCAGGTTCTAAAAATCCTTGGGCTGGGCCCACTAGTGGCTAACAGACTACACTGCAAATCAGGAGGTTCCTGGTTTAAATCCTATTTAATTAATTAATTGCATTTGTATGCCACCCCATAGCCAGAAGGCTCTCTGGGTGGCTCACAGCGCAATCGTAAACAATAACACAGATAAAAATAGACAATATAGATTAAAAATAGATAATAATAACTAAAACTATGTAATATAATAGAGTAAAAATACTATATAAATACAACGAGAGGATCTTGGCTCAAGACAGCAAACATTGTCCAAGAAATAAATAATTACAATTAGTCAAAATACAGTCAAACATAGAAGAAGAAAGTAGAGGAAGGAAGTTACCACAATCCAATCCCCCATTTGTAATATTGTGAGTTTGTTGCTGAACAGAAACATAGAAACAGAGCAAGTCAGAAGGGGTTTCCCGGGCCATCTAGTCTGACCTCCGGCACCAGCCGGCTCCGCTCTGCTTTCCTTCAGAAAGGACTGAAGAAGTCAGCAGGGTTACTCTGGGGAAGAAAAACCATCATTTGGGGCTACAATCAAAAAAGCCAAGTCTTGTGTTTCTAATCATTATGTTTCAGATGGCAGAGAATTAGTTGCTGTTGAGCTACGCTGACTTAAAGATAGTTATGTTAGTATTCAAATCAGGGGGACAAGATAAACATTCACATAAAATGTCAAGCCTGTGCATATTTCTGCTATTCCAAGTCTATGTTACTCAGAAGCAGTCAGAGATTATTTGTTGACATGCTACCTATTTCTTGGGAATATATGAAACAGCCAGTTTGAAAATTATCTTTCTGCTGTCACTTTCTGTTCTAGACACAGACAGAACAGAGGCAAAGAAATCTGTGGAAGGGGAAGGGGGATTAATGCAGAAGGACTTGTTGGGGCAGAAAATATAAGGAATAGAAAAGAAGGAATATGAGTGAGGGGAAAAGGACAATTAAGGCTGTGATCTTTTACCATTTAACCTGCGAGCAAACCCCACAGAATTCAGTGGAGTGAATCAGGCACGTTTCTTGGGTGGATGGACAAGTGGGGTGGCGGTCTTGAGCAGCAAATTCTGCATGTGCCAAAATGTTCCCCCCACACCCAAGGTGACAGTGGTGCTGCAGCTCCTCCCCCGTGCTGTTCACCCACCCACTCATGCGCCCAACAAGTCTGCAGAGCTCTCAGTCCCTTGCTTTGAGGAGGCCAGTCAGGTAGGCTTTCTGGAAAGCCAAACATGCCTAAATGTTGCACGTTGAGAGGTCCTTCCTTCAAGTGAGGCATAATGGGCAGAGGATTGAGGATGAGTCAGAAAAGAATGGAGGTCATTCCTGAATTCTCCAGTGTCATTAATTTCTTTAAGAGTATTCTTTCCAACCACTAAATGATGCAGTCAATATGAGAAGTATCTTCTGCCCTGTCATTTCAAGAAATTTGACCACACGGAACATCTAAAAATAAGTTGTTTTGTCTATTGTTCTTCTTAAGCTCAAGATTGAGATTGAAAAACTCCCACGACAGCAGCGCAAGGAGACCATGAAGATTAAAATGGATGAGTTTGCACGAAAGAAGGATGTTATGGTGAGCTCTAGAGATACAGTAGGGCAAGGGTATGGCATTTAATCCAAAGGGTTTGGATTCCCTTTGTTTCAAAAGAAGATGCAACACATAATATACCATGAGTGACCATACCGAGGTTCAGAAACTGCATGTTGCTCTTTGAATTATTTTGTGGCTTGCAGCTAGCTGCCTGTGGGTGCCCATGAGAGGCCACTTGCTGCTTGCAGCTCTCAAACATCTGATACTTACTATATGTGGCTCTTCTGCTGAGCAAGTCTGGCCATCCCTGTAATATACCAAGAAGCATGTTCACTTTGCTATTATCTCCTTCCAGGAGCATGAGTTTGATGCCAAGCAGACCGAAGACATGGAACAGGCCATAAAGAATATTACAGCCCAAAATCGGAAGGAGATCTGTGACAAGGAACGGGAGTGCCTCAACAAAAAACAGCAGCTTATGAGAGGTAAAAGTGTTGGGGATATTTGCAGTTTATATACCCTCGAAAGAAGTTAGCAGGGAGAAAGCAAATATGGAAGAACCTGCTTTCATTATCAATTAGTATTTTCCTCCACTGTCCTAATTATAAAGAGCCTCATGGTGATGAAAAACATGCCATGTCCTGTTCACATGCTCCAGAGTGCAAATATAATCTTGAAATTGGTTTTTGGGAACTCATCCAAGCAGTTCTAAGTTACAATTCTCCAGCAACTTGCAGCCTTGAAACCCCAAATGTACAGAGCTTGTTGAGCATCTGTGGTGCTCCAGGCTTGACTGGACTGGAGTTATCACCACTTGTGACTGTTGGCTGTACTGCATTTGAATCTAACAAACTCTGCAGTCTCTAAACATTCTTTGCTCTGCTTTTTGTCCCTTACCTGTCCTCCTTTATTGCCTCCTGTAGCACCTTTCCCCACACTGCAAAACCTGCCCCTTCAGTATTTTTATTTCATCTTTTAAATAGACATCAGCAGTGCCATGAGCACATACAATAAAAACCAAAGGGACATGGGGAACTGAGCCTCTTTCTTTCTCTTCCTGGCAAATTGCAATTGAAACATTTTCCCCATTTCTAGATAAGGGTTTAATAACCATGTATCATTTATGTTTCATCTTTCACAGACCGGGAAGCCACTATCTGGGAACTAGAAGAGCACCACTTACAGGAGAAACATCAGCTTATTAAACAGCAGCTAAAAGATCAGTATTTTCTCCAGAGACATGAGCTGCTCCGAAAACATGAGAAGGTTGTACATCTTAAATGTTTCTGTCTCTTTAGTTCTTCCTGGAGATGAGCAGCATGCAGAATTGCTGCAAAGTGACTGTCCAACAAACTGATCTGCTTGCATGTTAGTTTGATATGGTTGCTGAGACATAGTGAAAACTGAAAGTCGAATGGGTAGTTTCTCAGAGCCCAAGTGGCAGAATACTGTGGAAAATATTGTGCTGTCAGACACTGTGATTGACTTGCTATCGATTTTGGAAAAACAGGTTAATGCTCTAAGCTCAGCATGGGCCTTCTTGTTGTTTTGAACTTTAATTCCAGCTACCCAAACCAATGATCAGGAATGCTGTGAATGTTAGTCCAGAACATCTGGAAAGCACTAGGCTGGGGAAGGCTATTCTGGTTTGAAACAGATAGGCAGCATCCATTGCCATCTTTGAAGTACCTCTCTACAAACAATATGAGCGCAGAAAGTGGAGAAGCAGGCCTTGATGTTGTACAATGCTAGACTTTTCTGAAGGGAGCCACTCCATTATTTGAGAATGAACAAAGCAAACCTGACATTTGTTGAACTGGGGGCAACCTAAAATTGGCTTAACCATAGGCATTTTGAACAGATGCTTATAGGCAAAATAGAATTCATTAAGAGAAGGAAAACAATCAATTTACAGCAGGTAAGCCACAATGCAAAGAAAGCTTGACTGATATACTTGATCTTGTCCACATCTGCATCTTAGATACCATGAAGGATTATTAGGCTACTGCAGCATCGTTGTTTAGGGTTCCTTCTCTACAGTGTGTGTAGATTTTGCATGAACAGGAGGGATGGTGGATACTTTAAGGCAACAAGCACAGCCAGTTAAGATCACTTCGGTTAAGAACACAAAATTCTAAGAATAGTGAACCAGTTAGCTAAAAGACAGTGACAAGATTCTGATCTCAGGCTTCCAAGAAAAAAAATAACCTTATGGTTATTTGCATAGATTTCAGGTCATCACCAGACATTCCTAAGAACCACCAACATAGTCAATATCTGTGCAAATAAGTAGCTTTAAAGAGTATGACCTCCACAAACTGCCACTTTGTGGAACTGTTATTTGCCAGTTTTCCATGTTGGCCACAGTGCTTAAATTAGCCTATAGTTGTCATCGTGCTGCCTGTGATTATAGAGGAAGCCTTCATAAAACTGCTTGTGTTGTCTTTTTTCCTTCAAACCTGTTCACATCAGCTTTCTCTACCTTCTTCTGTACCTGCTTCTCCATCCCTACCTTTGTAGCTGGCCACAATAACTTTTGACAGTGACAGAATGTCTTGTTATTGACAAATCTTTTCCCCATGACCATGGCTATTCCAGGAGCGTGAGCAAATGCAGCGGTATAACCAGAGAATGATGGAGCAGCTGAAAATTCGGCAACAGCAAGAGAAAGCCCGTCTACCCAAAATCCAGAGGAGTGAAGGGAAGACACGCATGGCCATGTATAAGAAGAGTCTTCATATTAACTCCAGTGGAAGTGCCTCTGAACAGAGAGAGAAGATCAAACAGGTGATGTTTCTTGAGGGACCAGGTAGCAAGCTTATTGAAATGATTTGATTTTGGAGCACACATTGCATTAACCAAAATCCTCTGAGAGGGGTGCCTCTTGATGGAAAGGATGATAAAATGTACTTAGATTCTCCCTTATTGGACAACTTGCATTGCTGGAAGTCAGTAGACCCAGGCTGTTGAAATATATTTACAGTGGTGCCTTGGTTCACGAATGCCTCAGTTCACGACCAAATCAGGTTGTGAACAAATATTTCATAAAAATTTTGACTCAGGTTGTGAACTCCGCATTGGGTGGTGATTGCAATCGCGGCCATCTCCTCACCCCCCCAAGTGGGGAGATGGCTGCGATTGTGCTGGGTGGGGGGAGATGGCTGAGATGGCCCATCTTTCCTGCACAAGCATGTCTATGATTGCGCCCGTCTTTCCTGCACGAGTGCAACCACGATCTTGGCCATCTCACCACCCCCAGCACGAACGCGCCTATCTCTCCCCCCCAGTACGCCCGTGTTTGTGCCTGTCTCCCCACCCCCAGCACACCGGGATGATGGCCGCACTCGTGCTCGGGGTGGGAGGAGGAGATGGCCACGATCTTTGTTGTTCTTTGTCACTTTGCTTCACATTTTTCTGATTAAAAAAATGGTTACAGAATGGATTAACCTTATTTACATTGAACCTTATAGGGAAATTTTACTTGGCTCATGACCAATTTGAGTCACAACCAGAATCCTGAAACAGATTAAGTTCATGAGCCAAGGTACCACTGTATTTACTTTCATCCCATAACACTGACATTTAAGCTCCAGTGCCAAATAAAGTGCAAGCTACCACCAGGAGGAGTTTTCCAGCAATGGGAAACCCAGGGTGACTTTCTCTCTAACATCTTTATGTTTCTCTGAAAGGGGTAGGGGAGTCATAGTTCCAGTCCCCTACCACTCTGGCAAATGTGGTACAGCTAATATAAGGTACAGCAAAATCAACCCTCACTGGTAGGTCAGTAGAGTTCATACAAACTACTTTCAAGGGTGTACATGGGTTTGAGGACACGACTGTTAGTACAGATGCTGATGTTTTAAAAAGTGTCAATTAAAAGAAATGTTCTCCCATGTTGGTGCCTCTCCATGTGTAGCTATGCAGTATTTTAAGTTCTGGAGCGAAAAGAAAAGAAGCAGGAACCTATTTTTAATTTTTTAATCACATTAAACAGTCCCATAAATCATCACCTAGTACACATAATCCTGTAAGAAGCCATTTTAAACACCTGTGAACATAGTCTGATAATAACGGGTCTTCCTTCTGTCACAGTTTGCACAGCAGGAAGAGAAGAGGCAGAAAGCTGAGCGGCTGCAACAGCAGCAGAAACATGAAATGCAAGTGAAGGATATGAGTGCTCAGTGTGAGAGCAACATGACTGAGCTTCAACAGTTGCAGGTAACTTCACAGAAGGAGGGGCAGGCCATGCCATGAACTTGACCGATGCAGAGCTCTTTGTCCATTCTGAAAAGCTGGGTTACACAGTCCAGCAATAACACAGAAATGGAAAAGAATCCCTTTCTTTTTTAAATGGTGACATGTTGGGGTATTTGTACTTTATCCTTCCTCCAAAGAGCAAAAAATATTGTACATGGTGGTTATCCCATTTAATCCTAACAAGCAACCCTTTTAGATATGTTGCTTAAATATCTTGTTGAGATATGTTAGTCTGAAGAAGTGACTTTCCCAAAGCCAACCAGTGAGCTTCATGGCTGGCCAAAGATATGAACCTTGATCTCCCAGGTTCATGCCTAACCTTCTAATCACTACACTCACTATTTCTGAATTAACAGATGCATGAAATCTCAGGAATTGAACATAGAACGAGAAAGGCCTTTGTTGTGTTTGAAAACTGAGTTTCCATCTTGTGCCCTCCTCTTCCTAGAAAGCAATGCATGGTTTACAGCTTGACTTATAGGGCTTACAGGGCAGCAGGGATGGTGGGTTTTATATCAGCTTTTTGCCCTCCAGAAGCTTTCTAATACCTCTTCTCTCCCCTCCCCCAATATTGCCTTAAATCAATATAGAATGAGAAGTGTCATCTTCTGGTTGAACATGAGACTCAGAAGCTGAAGGCCTTGGATGAAAACCACAATCTAACTTTGAAGGACTGGCGAGAAAAGCTGAGGCCACGGAAAAAGGTGACAGCTAAAAAGTTGGATTAAAACTTCAGAGACATTTGAAATTTGAGATTTGGTGTTGAACTTTTGAATTTTGGATCAGTTTTCATATTAAATATGGTACCACACTTCATCTGTTTAATAAACTGCTAACTCGAACAGCCTCCATAATTTGGAATAGGAAGGGGGGATTGAATTGGGAAAACTTGTATCTGAATTTCTGCAAGTGAGCTTGAATTGGAGCATTTGAGCACCCCCCTTAGATACATTTTCCTTTTAACAACTGCTTCTGCATGTAATCTGGCAGAGAGCCAGGTGTCTGATAGCAGCCAAATTATTACAGCTTGAAGCATCACCTTAAATGAGCTGCTGTTTCTTTTCTGTTTTTGCATCAGGCATTGGAAGATGAACTGAATCAGAAGAAACGAGAACAGGAGATGTTCTTCAGGCTCAGCGAGGAAGCTGACAGCCAGTCTCCAGCATCACCAAACAAGCCTGCCAAATTTGTCCCATTCAGCTCTGCAGAGGCTTCATAACCCTTGGATTTTAGTAGACAAGGTGCTAGTAATACTGAGAGGAAGTCAGCAGAGAACTGCTCCCTTCCTTTCTTTGACAACTCTGGTCAGCATTTCCTCTTCGTCTATGGGAGAGGCAACCCGTGTGGCCTGAGGTCTTCTCCACTGGCAATGAGACAGTTTCACATGGAGGTGGCCATGGCAGGTGCTGACTGATGGCACTAGGAGAGCTCTGAATGAGCTTCAAGTCAAAGACCAAAAGGGGCTCTGTGCAGAGTTCATGCTGCCTGCTGTAGCTGCCATCCAGCCACTCCAGTGTTTTCTGTTTTTACTGCCTACTGTAGGGGACCTAAGAGATGTTCAGTGATTGCTGAATGCTGCTGATAGGCTGGCTTGCCTGTTCAATTGTCCAAACTGCTACCCTCCTCGTCCCAGTGTAATGGGTCAGTACTTCCACTTAACATCATGATCTTTGCCTTAATGGCTGGACGCTTGGCCACCTCCACTCACAAGCGGTTCAGTTGTGACAGCCTTACAGAAGACAATGAAAAAATTGCCTACCTTTATCGTTGCCCCAGTCTCTGTTAGTGAAGCAAATGGCTTCTTTTCCTTTGAAAGGCATCTACTCCTCATCTTGTGTTGAAGTGACTCAGTTACCTGTGAGACAACTTCTGCCCTTTCTCGAGTATGGAATAGAGGTACCAAAATGTGAAACACAGTTGCAGCTGTTTCACTTGAAACAAGTCCCAAGTCCAGGACTGAAGAGTAAGGCAGTCAGAGGTTCGTAGACCTTTTGAAAGAGGAGATTCCCACCGCTGCTATGGCTGCACGTCCATGCTTGTCTCAAAACAAGTGATTTTAAATGTATGAGCCTGGAAAAGATCCTCAGAAATTTCAGATACTAAAGAGATAGGAAATGAAAAGATGTAGCCAGCTAAGTGAAGGCTTCCCAGTCTTGTTGTGGTATAGAATCCAAGATCAGTCCTGCTGATACTGATACTGCATTCTGTCTAAAAATGGGCCAAACTCAGTTTCTCTGCTCCTCAGGACAGTCTTTGATACAGATTGGCTTCTTCTTCAGTTGTAACGCAAAGTTTCTTTTTCCTCTGATGGTGAACAAAGTCTTCTCTCTCCTAGCTCTGTTTCTGCTGCTGTTGGTCTAGGGGAAAACATGTGCTCAGGTTATAGCAAGGGCTAACGAGTTCTTTTCCAGTAAATCAAATAGTGCGAATGTCTGAGGCAGCAAGATTGCAGCTGGCCGAAGTAAGGTGAAAAGCACTTTGTTCTGCATCATCTCATGTGTGTGACTTTCATATAACAGCAAGTGCCTCCTTTGAGATTTCTTAGTCTTCTGTTACATTTATTTGGTGCACTTATTGGGTAGATCTGATTTTGACACAAACAAGCAACTGCCTGAGAACTGATTTGTGGTAATTTTTATTTGTAGTCCTTTGCCATTGTTCTGCAGTGCATCAGAAGGGTCCACATGAAGGGAGCTGCTTGTAGTAGAATAGAATGTTACGTGTTTCAGCTACTGAAGCTATTCTTCATTTCATAGGCCTTACATCTTGCAAAGACTGTTTTTTTTTTTACCAAAGACATGGTTTTTCTGCCCTGTTTTGATTTATTAAAATATATATCTCAATAGATAAAAGACCTTGTCCACTTGGCCAGTTTGCATTTCCTCATGCATATATATTTGTTGCAGCTCACACGAATTCCCATCCAAGCAGTCAGCCCTTTGTGGTAAATGCGTAATTTGTATTTATATGTGAATGAAGTACCAAACAGTTCATTGTGTGATCTCAAAGCGCTATGCATTACAATGGAAGCATGGTCCAATATTCCTTTCTGTATACAAGTGAGGACCTTTCTAGCAATTGCTTTTGTTTTCTTTTTCTAATGTATTCTCTGGTAAAATGATGTTGCTGATGGCATGATTTTTGTGCTCATAGTTAACTCACTGGAATAAAAATAGAGGCCCAGCAAATACATGGCTGCTGGCAGGCGACAGCCTTGCTGCAGGGCTGAGTACAGAGCAAGGTTGCATTAAAATTGTCAGAACTCGAATCTTGTCTGGTCAAAAAGTCTATTTAAGGAACTCTGAAATCTAGAAATTTGGGAGTCTAGAAAATGTGCAACTAGAAATCCCCTCAATCCCTTATTGGACTATTGGTATACTTTGTTGAGATCATGTGTGTGAGTTAAAGAGGAATGGAAACAAAGCCAGTTGCTGTTTTCTCAGAATTCAAAGAGAAGCCAGACTTTCTCCAAATCTTAACAGGCCCCTTTTATTCCACATTTATGTTACAGATAGTTGAATTGATGTTACTTGCATATGTGTATGTGCTTACATGCACCCTCACATGCTTTCCCACTTTTGGCCATGAAATCCAACCTTTACTGATAATTAGTTCAGTCCAGAGTTTGTGTGTCTTTGTTTCTTTATCAGTCTGGTCTCAGCTACTACCAGGAGGTGCTGTAACTTCACAAAGGTGCAATAGTTACCTCATACAATGCTTCAAGGAAGCTTCCCTGCCCCCCCCACCCCACAGTCCTCCTTTAAAGGCAAGGAGGTGTTGGCTCTTTTGAGTAACTGCTTGCTAAACTGTATAAAGCTAGCTTTTTGTTTGTTAGGATAACGTGATGTTTTTCTGCACTTCAGTATGGTCTTTGCAAATTCTTTTTTTTTTTAGTTTTTCTCCTTTTGGATAACCACTATGATGTAAATAATAATACCACAGTGAACCCCTGTGTGTGCATGAGCTACTCTGTGTAACTGTGTTGCATATGGCTTGAGGTCAGCAGTGCTGACTTTGACTTGTACAGAAAACTTTGCTTTGATGTAATACAGTTTGATACCAGGATCCTCCTCCTCAGAATTTAAAGCATCCCATCAGCAAGTTTTGGGCTCTAAACCAAACAATCTCTGAGAACTTCTGTATTGAATTAAGTTAGTAATAAACTATTAATTCTTGATATTAACTGCAACCAGTTGGTGCTGTTTTTAATTCTCTGCTGATAGACAGCCAAAAACAGCTAAAGAGTGACACTCTTTGGTAGAGAAGAAGAGCTGCACTTTCCATCAACTTTCTTTCTATCTCTGAGTGTCACTCTATTTTATATTCACACTTTTCACACTAGCAATTATTTAGCATGAACAGTGGGATAGGAGCTGAACTAAACAACGCTTTACCCTACATGTATGTGACTTAGCCATAACCCAGTTACAGAACTATGCTAGCTTACGTATCTCAGATAAAGGGCCTCCTGCAATTACCCAGGCATTTATTCTTTAGTTTGATTATAATGTTTACATGTGGAAATTACTTTTGATGCAATATCTTTGGCAGGTAAGTCATCCTTTTCAAGCAGGGTTTCCAACCATTCCTACACTGCACTTAGAGCTTCTAGCATCATTTTCAGTATTCATAAATTAGGATATAAGGAACAGTGCCTTTTGTTAATGCTTATATGGTGTAGAGGTTGGCACTTCCAAGAGTCTCCCATATCGTGCTAGCTTGAAACTTTGCTTCCATGCACTGTCCCATGCTGTTGGAGCCCCACACTTTCTTCTCTGCAGGTTGGCTTTTGTCCTATAACTACTCCTGCTTAAATGTTGTCCTTTTTAAGTGACACATGTCAGAGGGCAGCTTCCTTGTATTTGCCATAACCAATAATGTGCTCCTCTTGTACATTAAAAGCTAAAACATTTATTAAGGAATAAATTTCACAGGTTAAAGCCCACTAGACATTTTACATAATAGAGGGCAAAGAGTCAAGAGCTGTCAGTTGGCATATTTATTACATGTTTATACTGCCCAATAGCTAAAGCTCTCCAGGCAGTTCACAACAATATCCCATCATGATGCAGAGAGGAATATAATTCAAGCTCCATTCAGAGTAGAAGTGACTATCCACTTTCTAACTGTCTTACTAAAAACCAAACAGGCTGGATTCCGTGTAGGCACCACAGTGGGCATCCCCAGCTTGCCAGAGATTGATGCAGCTGAAAACTAGCATGAACAGGCTGAGAACTGCTCATTTGTTCTCAGCCAGTCATGGGAGGAGACCCTCAATATCCTGGCAAAAGAGTTGTGGGAATATTAAGTCCCCGCTGTTGCAACCAAGAGGCACATTTTTGTCTCTGACAGTGATGTGACGAACACTAAAAATGCAAAATTCAGTTATCATTCTGTTTGCTGCATGTCCTAAGGCTCTTCTGAATTTTAGCTATTTATTTTATTTATTTATTATTTATTTATTAAAACATTTTTATGCCACCCCATTCGCCGAAGCCTCGGGGCGGCTTACTATTCTATACTGTATTTTTACCCAGAAGGAAACATACACGATATACCTGCTGACAGTACCTGGCCTTATACCCCACTTAATTCTAATCCTTTATTGATGCATATATAGTCTAAATTATGTATCCCTGATGCCTAAAGTCTGGTACTGGAAAAGAAGTTTTGCTACCAGCTTAGATAATAATTTAATGGAAGCCAGATGTTCATTTATGTGGTAGAATTTTTTTAAAATCCTACAACTGGAATAGCCTTAACTTCAGCTATAATCACAGCAAAAGACAACAAATACCTTCCTAAAAGAGTTGAAGAAAAGAACTACATCAAGGGACAGAGCAATGTGCAATATTAAGGGTCAGTGATCTATAGAGTGGAAACAGAAAACATTCCCAAGATGCACCAGGCATCAGTGATGTGCACATGCAAAAATTCAAGGATACTTCAAAAGCTTGTAGCATTGGAAACTTGTGTTCAAATTTAGAATGTTGGATTTAACAATCCAATTTAAAATGTTATATGGCAGGATCAATTTGCCTATCAGTAAATCCTACTATTTAGAATATTCTGATTGCTCCTAATGGGAAGTGAAAAGGCCCAGAGAGCATGATGCTAGTGGGTGGCTTTTATAGACATTCGATAAATAAATGAAAATACATAAATTTTAAATTTTACTTTTAAATTACTTTAAAAATAAATTTTATAAATACAAATTTATAAAATTTAAAAATAAGTTTTACTTTAACAGTTTGCTGTGAATACACTGCATAGCCCCCTAGCAATACTTTTCTGTTCCAATACAACAAAACCCTTAAGCTGAACTGTAAACTCCTGAATTCAATTGATTTTCATTTAGTATGGGAGTGCCCAATCTGAACAATTCTTGGTTCTTGTTAAAAAAAACAACCCTGTTTAATGTTTAGATTAAAACAAAGTTTGGGGACTCATAAAGGGGCCTGGGAATGGGATACAGAAATACTAAAAATAAGTGATGTGAATGCTTTCTTCTCCCTTGCTGCCTGTTGTGGCAATTTTTAATAGTTTACAGGTGCTGCTGCCTTCATTTCTGCTCTGGGGAGTAAACTTTCCTTCGCAATGTAATAACAGAAGGGGCAGAATGGAGTCATCCATCACAAGAGAGGAGAGTGAAATTGTGATGTTGGGCTTTACCCAACAGGGTCCCATCCAGTTGCTTTGGACCTCCATAAGGTTAGAAATGTTGGGAATTGAAGTTTAAAAGATCCAGGGGGCAGCTTATGGGGGAAGTTTGCCTTATGATATAAACCTATATTTTAAAATGACTTAAGCTAGAGTTTCATGGAAGAGCCAACTTGTGCTGGAAATAAGAATACTCGGTATTACAATTGCTCATCCTCCTCTTAACACACTACCCAGGATCATATGACGACAAACCTTTGATGATGATGATGATGATGATGATGATGATGATGATTATAACATTTCTATGCCGCCCCTTGCCGAAACCTCGGGGCGGCTTACAACATGATAAAATACATTGAAATACAATAGTACATAATAAATTACCATTACATATAAAAATACAAAAAATACATTGATTTACAAATACAAAATTAAAATTATCAGTATAAAATAAAAATATAGGAGGAGAAAGAGAAGGAAGAAGAAGTTGCCCAGGCCAGATCATATGTTTTAACAATTGAAATGATGTTTAAATAAAAAGGTCTTTACCTGGCGCCGAAAAACCAGTAACGACGGTGCCAGGCAGACCTCTTTGGGGAGTGAATTCCATATGTTGTCCTGTCATGTGAACTCACTCATGGTTTCCCGTGATTGTTTTTTTATCATGGTTGGCAATCACAGTAAGAGCCAACAGTTGTAGGGTTGGTTTGACCGATGATGGGTGGTTGTGTTGTCTGAACCCGCATGACAAGAGTTATGTGTCAAGCTCGACAATAAGCAAGCCACTTGACAAGGGCATCAAAATCCACCTACTGCTCCTGGCCAGTGACTAGCCTGCATGCATGTGTGACAGCTGTCTCCAAAGTGCCCAGGGGCACTTGTGGGGAAGCCTGCAGGGGCTTCCCCTGCTCCATGCCATAGCCACCAGCTGTTCTGGGCTGCTGGCATCACTGGCCAGGCAGGTACTGCTGACAGCTCCCCTCAGAGTGCCTAAGAAACATTTGGGGGTAGCTGTTAGATGCTTCCTCTGTTGCCTGGTGGAGTGGTAACCTCTACCACCCAGCACCACTGCTGCAAACAGAAATGGCTCACATTGGCCATGTGGTTGCAGGTCAGGCCAAGCTGTTAATGAGTTGGCTACCCTGACCCTCATGCTGCTGCTGTGAACCAACAATGTCAGTGATATGGGGCAGAGTTGGGGTGGCCAACTCGCAAGTTGACAAATCTGATCCTGGCACCATCACAAAGAGCCAAAAGGCTGCACAGCAGCAGTGTCGCTGGATCTCTCCCCCCCTGGCTTGACAGGCAGTTTAGAGGATTGATGCCTGCTCTCCAGCCCTCCTGTTGCACGTCAGTGAATGAGTCCTCTTGACGCAATGGGGACAAGTAGGAGAAGAGGTCATAGAATCCTAGAATAGTAGAGTTGGAAGGGACCACAAAGGCCATCAGGTCCAACCCCCTGCTGTTGCAGGACACCAGCTTACACCATCCGACTCAGATGGCTGACCAGTTTCTTTTTAAAGGTCTCTAGTGTGGGAGAGCCCACCACCTCTGTAGGCAGCTGGTTCCACTGGCGGGCACAAAAAATAATGACAAAAACTGAGAAGGCAGGTGCCGGAAGCTTCCCCAATGAAGCTGGCACTCTGGTGAGCTTTCATGGGAACTGAAACTGGCCATGACTGTGATTGTCAACCAACTGCTCCCACAGTTCTCTGTGGTTGCACAAGGCAGGATGAGGAGGGAGTGGGAGCAAAACACCCAAGAAGAGCCCAGTTGCCTGTTGGGCTTTTCTATGTGCCTTGTGGGTTCAACCAACCCATTGTAGTAAATCAGCATGATGGGTTTTGTCATGTGTGAACCCATCCACTTTAAAGGACCAGTTCTGTTTCTAGAGTGTTTCTGTTTCCAGCTTCTCCACTAGATGGCAATGTATTAAAATGCTGGGTTTAGCCTTAGTTTTAAACTGTTGCCCTGTTGTAAATCAATTGCAGGCCAAAATGTGGATTTTTTCTTTGTTGATGCATTCGTCTAAATAGGATGGTCTGATCTGAAGAACTGAGCAGGGAGATAACAGGAGGCTGTGCTACCAACCTGACTGTTTTACAACAGGAGTATTAAATACTAGCACCTTAACTTGCTATTGTGACATCATCCTACTCCTGAAAGCCTAACATTATGAAGTCACTACTGGATGAAACTCACCATTACAGTCAAAACTGCCATTTGACACCACACCCCTGAGGCCTAGAGAAAGCCAGAAGGAAAAAGGAGACAGAACATGGAAATACACTTTAAGCAGGAGGACCCAGGAAAGAAAATAATTCAGATAGGCCCACAGAACTGTAAGCAGTGGATCTTTACTTTGTTCTTAACCTGCATAAAGAGCAGCGATCCTATACGTACATGTGTACCTCACCCACCCACCCTTTTCCCCTTATAAAGCAGTCTTGGTTGCTGGCAGATACAGGGTGATGTCAGTAATCTACTTAAGTGGGCAGTTTTGGAAGGTGATTTTTTTTACTGCAC